GTTGTGCCATACTCTTTCCATTTCTTGATGATGGATTGAACAGTGCTTCGTGAGATGTTCAAAGCTTGGGAAATCTTTTTATAACCTAACCCTGCTTTAAACTTCTCCACAACTTTATCCCTGACCTGTTTGGTGTGTTCCTTTGACTTCATGATGCTGTTCACTGACCAGTGTCCTCTTAGCAAACGTCTGAGGCTGTCACAGAACAGGTGTATTTATACTAAGGTTAGATTACACACAGGTGGACTCTATTTAATCAGTAGGTCAACAGCTGATCATTCAGCAATCATCAGGCAACCTCTGAAGGCAACTGGTTGCACTCAGAGAAAAGGGGGCTGAATACTTTTGCACGCCACATTTTTCAGTTTTTTATTTCTAAAAACAATTTAAAGTCATGTATAATTTTCCTTCTACTTCACAATTGTGTGTCGCTTTATGTTGATCTTTTATCTAAAATGCCAATAAAATATATTTATGTTTGTGGTCGGAACGTGACAGAATGTGGGAAAGTTCAAGGGGTATGAATACTTTTTCAAGCCACTGTACGTCAACTGTGTTTACTGCTCCTTGGCCACTTAAAGCCATGACAGATGGAACTGGCTTTGTTCCAGTTCTCAAAGTCATCATTCCTACCTTTACTGCCTCAGTAACACAGATAACAGCCAGACTGGAAAGATGTACGTAGATCTGATGACCTGCAAGTCTGATGAAGACCATGCTGAAGGTGACCATAACACAGCAGCTGACTGCACTAACTGGTTAACTTTCTGGTCTATCAAAAAGCAACAACATCAATAGTTCATCAGGTTTTATTTTCTTTGACACAACACCCAATTTTATGGTTTATTATAGATTTATTTAGTTCCCTTTTACAGATTCTGTAATTTGTCATCATTGGATTAAGATCAGGACTTACTGCATGTCTTAGAATATTATCTGCTTTGAAGGTTATTCACTTATTCTGGTAATTGTTATATGAGCTTACCAAACAAATTTTGTGTTCCAATAATTAGTGCTAAAGGTATTCAAATCAATAAAACAACAAGGGTGCCCAGATTTATGCACCTGCCTACTTTTGTTTAAGTAATTATTGCACACTTTCTGTAAATCCTATAAACTTCATTTCACTTCTTAAATATCACTGTGTTTGTTTGCTATATGATATATTTAATTGAAATTGCTGTTCCAAACAACCAATGATACATAAAGGAAAATCTTGAAAATGATCAGGGGTGCCCAAACTTTTTCATACCACTGTATGTACAGTATATAAAACTGAACCTGATCAAGGTGTCATTTTAGTTAGTTAGTTATCATGATTAGATAGCTATTCTGTACAAAAACAGTATTACCTTCATGGAACACTCAGGATAATATTTTCTTTTTATTATATATTGTCAAGATGGGAACAGTAACCTTTATTTAAAATGGTACAATTCTGCCTTACATATATTATCTTATGTTATATGGTATCATTTCAGATAGAAGGTAACATCCCAAATATTCATATTATAATCAAATACCATTTTGATATGCTTAGCATATAAATTAATATGTATATTTCAATACGATTCAATATACGTTAAACACATTTTATTTTGGAAATCGCCTAGGATCGGTTACATCCATGACAAGGGTCTTTCAGTTCGTATTTTTCGTCGGCCTGCTTTTAATCCAACTCCAGCATCCCTTTAACTAGATCCAACGCCCTGAACCACTGTGCAGTTTATGAGTCGGTCATCGCTGTGTATTGTCTTACTTCCAGATTTACAATACGCAACTGAGATGGTTGTGTCTACATCGTTAAGCTAACCACCGAGCCGCTAGCTAATGCCAGGCAAAAAAAAAACCACTAAAGACCAAGCATAATATGCACCACGTTGTCACACAATAAAAAACGTGTAAAATGATATTTGCGAGCAAATTCTAATTAAGTAAGATTTCACGTAAAATTCGGCATTTAAGTGTATTAAATACAAGAACTAGTTTGTATAAATCTCGGGTTCACGGTGTCTCACACGGTATTTCTGTTTTGGTTTAAGTTCACCATAGAAGAGTCCGTGACTGCACTTGAAACTGCACACAAACACGATGGTGTAGTTTATTAGAATATTGGCAGAATTTGACAATGGAAAGTTCAAAATAAAAAAACATCTGATACGTATTTTGTTTATGTGCCGAATTCGCAATATAAATCATGACAGTTTCAACATTTCGGTTTTTGAATTAAGTTTGGAGGAACCTTCGTTCTGGCGCTATGGGGCGATAACAATGTAGTAGAACACAGAGTTCAAAAGTCCAAAGATGCAGACACTTACCGAGAAGAGCATAGAGTAGACATTTAGGGTGAATTTGATGAAGTAGTAGAAGTGGTTTGTTTTTCTCAGTTCAGAATAAGACGGCATGGCTGCTGATGCAATTGAAGCTAAGGCTAACGAGGCAGCCTGCCAGGTATTCTCTTTATTTCAGACGATGTTAAAATATGAATGGAATAATGCTTTTATATATATATAAAACGGGAATAAAACAGCATTCAGATAAGCTAACTAGTTCTTAAATATGTAGCAGCTCTAATTTCTCCCATATTGCTGCGAATAGTCACCGAAATACAACCACTTCCGTGCTTCTTCACCGCACAACTCCGGTCACTGCACGCTTTGTTTTGACTGCATTCTTAAAGGGGCAGTACATACAACACCAAACCTCATTACTGTAATTAGATTAAACAACTAGGTTAAAGGAAGTTACTCTCAATTTTTGTCATACATTCATTTAATACGTTTTATTTCACTTGCACTCTTCTTCTTGATTGTATTCTAAAAAACGTTTTGGTCAGTATTCACTGCTTGCTAATTTGTCCCTTTTATTTAGGACAAATTTAGGCAATTCTAAAATAAAGACTGCTGTTCAAAGTCTAGAATAAATAGCAGAAGATTTGAATAAATCACAGACTGTACATCAGAAATGGTCAAAGTTATGCAGCCCTTAGGAAGGTTGTAGAGTTACACCAGGAGTGCTGAAGAAAAAAATTCTATTAACTATAAACAAACTGCCTCGTTTTCGGTGTAGCAATAAAATTATGTTTTTCTGCAGCCTCACCCAGCAAACAGTATACTCTTTCACAGCTGTGATAAAAGTCTGGTGGACCATGATTTTTGCCTTATGACATGCTCAAAATAAAATGTTGTAACATGTACTTCAATATAAACTCTCTTCTAACAATGTTACTGTTATTACCCATTACATGTTGTATGTGCAGTAATAGACAAATGAGAATAAAGCCTGCTACTTTGTATCAATAGGCTCTGCCTAAATTTTTTTTATTATTTTGGACTCCTCAGTGACATTTTTCAAAGAAAACATAGCGAGCTTTGCATTGTCAGAGTTGCATAGACATGAATTGTTTTTATGAATCAATTTTCCTCAGATTCCAATACTAATTTTTGTTTATAATCATTGTTCTTCATGTAGTTGCCTGGACCTGCTGCTTGGCCTTCTGGCATCACCATGTCCATTGTGGTAACTGAACATGGCAGGCGTCATTATGTTTCTCTGTCATGTTTACCTGTTAACTCAGCACAATAGTAAGGCTAATTGTTTAATCAGACACTGTGATGACAATAAGAGAAGATCTGAAGTCTGACCTCCGCATTAGCCATTTGATAAAGGGATGATGAAGTGTTATGGAGAATTTGCAAAAAATCTTTTCTTCTGGCAAGTGACCTTGCAAGAGCTATGATATTTTGAAAATTGATTCACTTAAATTGCAAAAACCCTCTGATGGTTCTATGTTGCTGTTTCAAAATTTCATTTGACCTCTTCTTCTGTTCACACCACATTGTAAGCAGTTATAAGACAGGGCTGAGCTGACTTTTGGTAGCATCAATCAGTAGGTAACTGTCAGGAAACTTTCTCTGTTAGATAGGACTGTAAAATATACTGTTAGTTCATACCTCAGTTTCCTAACACACAAAGAATCAAGTAAAGAATCAAATATAAGATCTCAAAGTTTTAAATGTTTTACTTGCAGCAAGGAGTGCAGAACAATGGTTACATTCAGAACTGCACTGACACCTCAGTGCTCAAAGCTTAAATACAGTTTTTTTACACACACACTTCAATGGTCAGTACCTTGGCACAGCCATGAAGTGTTCACGCGTGTTGGTGCCGAAAAATATGTTATTCAGCAACCACTATTGTCATCTAACTGCCACAGATAGAATGACCTGAAAAGAACCACATCTGACAACGTTGTGAGTTTTACTCACTGTGAGGGGGAGCAGAGAGGCTAACAGCTTCGCAGAGTTGGCTCACCTAAGTCCCAAAGTGTATGAGGACTGCAGCTCCTTTTATTGAGAAAGTTACATAAGTGCTGAGCAGTTGTTTTTCATTGTGTGCATTCTTTTGGGCAAAGATTGCACGCTTCACATAGATGATGAGGAACAGACTGCATCCTTTGAAAACATTTCTTGAGTACTTGCAAAACATTTCCTGTGCAGAGCAGAGTCTTCATGTTTCTTATAAGCAGATTATGTTTTAACACATTTTAATAACTTTTTAGAAATTCTATTTACAACGCGCCACTTCTGAGCACTGATTGGTAAAGACTGCTCCAAACAAAGATTCTCCACCAATAGGAGCTATGTGCATGTGTTGCAGTTAATCAAGTCAGATAAGACCATGCAGTTCGGATGTTTTTCTCTCTTTGTCTTTTGTTGGTCTTCCGTCGGTCTCCTTATTTGGGCAAAGAAACTAGTTCTGGCCGGCTCTGTGTCCTGTCTCTATCTCTAAGTGTAACAGTCAGTACCATTCTGTGCTGTCCATATCATCCTGTTATGTAAACCATCAGCCTGCACACCTGTGTTCAGCACTTTCCCTTTTAGTACAGCATAATAACAATTCAATTCAATTCAATTTTATTTATAGAGCACATTTCATACACAAGGCAAACTCAATGCGCTTTACAGTGGTTTTAAACCATTAAAATTGAAAGAAAGCAGGATGCAGAAGAAAGAAAGAAAAAAGAAAGAAGCGGTAACAGTGGTGAGCCCTTATGGACTCTCGCATCGGCTGAGGAACAACTCCCAAGAAAAAAACCCTTAATAGGGTTAAAAAAAGAGGTAGAAACCTCTGTAGAGACAGAGGAGGGGATCATCATCCAGGACGGGCAGGCGGGCAGTAGCAAATCAATCATTTCTTTCAGTTCTAGTTTTCAGTACAGATGAGGCAGGAGGCAGAAGTATGGAGGGGGTCCTGGATCCAGAAACAGCATCCATGGGGTCTAGGAGGGGAGGAAACACAGAGACTCCGAGGACCAGAGGGTCCCCGGGCCAGCATGTTAACCCAGTGCATTTGGCGAGGGTAATGATAACAAGTGGAAACAAAACAAACAGACAAAATAAATCTTCTTCTTCTTTTTCTTTCGGCTTTGTCCCTTTTTTTTCATGGGTTGCCACAGCAAATCATTGATTTCCATCTCTCCCTGTTCTCTGTATCTTCTACTCTGACTCCAATTATCTGCATGTCCTCCCTCACTGCATCCATATATCTCCTCTTTGGCCTTCCTCTCTTTCTCCTACCTGGTAGCCCCATCTCTAACATTCTTCTACCAATGTATCCACTGTCCCTCCTCTGCACATGTCCAAACCATCTCAATCTGGCTTCTCTAGCCTTTTCTCCAAACCTTCCTGTCTGTGTTGTCCCTCTAATGACCTCATTCCTGATCCTGTCCATTCTTGTCACTCCTAAAGAGAATCTTAGCATCTTTAACTCTGCCACCTCCAGCTCCGCCTCCTGTCTTCTGCCTATTGCTACCGTCTCTAAACCGTACATCATGGCTGGAGAACAACTTGCAACTGGCCACCTTAAATACCCTCTCATGATTGGCTTCACCTGTGTATGTAGGTCAAGGGTCAATGAGCTTACCAAACAAATTTTGTGTTCCAATAATTAGTGCTAAAGGACGTCCAAAAACCTACCACCAACTCTCTGGGTTGGGTGGGGGAACAGAGATACTTGCAACACAGAACCACAGACAAAAACAGCAGGAAGCATGGGGACATGACAATAATGAAAAACCAACGCACTATGAGAAACAAAAACAGCTCTGAAAAGGTACATAAACTGAAACCAAGGCCTCTCCAAGAAACAAAACAAAACCAAAGGTCACTGCTGTCGCCTCCCAAACCATTGGAGGCGTGTCCGTCGTTGATACGCCTCCCGAACCTCTGGAGGAGTGACCAGTGCCACCACCTCCCAAGCCGCTGGAGATGTGGGCACAGCAGACTCCTCCGGAACTGCCACCTCCGGAACCACAAGAGGCGTGACCACTGCTGCTGCCTCTGCAGCCAGTGGAGGTATGACCACTGCCGATGCCTCCCAAACCACTGGAGGTGTGGCCACCGTCGCCTCCCGAACATCCGGAGGTGTGCCCACCGTCGCCTCCCGAAGCCCTGGAGGTGTGACGTCCGCCGCCGCTTTCTGAACCACTGGAGGCGTGATCACTGCTGCCGCCTCCTGAGCCACTGGAGGTGTGGCCCCCGCCATCACCTCTGGAACCACTGGGGAGGTGAATGGAGTGTAGGCGCAATTATTGATGATGGCAAAATAATTTGCTTTTCTTTACTGTGACTGCACTTGCATAACAATGACATCAGGCTTTACTGTTTCATTCATAGCAACACAGCAGTCTTCAGTCATGACCAATGACTTGCATATATTCATGACTAATCCTCTGGGTATGCTGCTTCCATGGCAGTAGACGTGATAATGACCAGATCTGACATGTGGTCAAACCCTTCTGCAGCTGTGTGTTGGACTGTGGCATCTGGCAGAGGTCTGTGTAATTCATGTGACCTAAAACAGAAATCTGCATGTACTACAGCTGGCATTTGCGGAGAGAAACAGGAAACTGTGACCTCCAGTTTAGACAACCAATGAGAAGAGTTCCATTTCTAATAACATTCAATTAGCAGGTTCATTTAGCGATCACGTATAACTAGAGCCAGGGTAATTCACAACAATGTTTGATTCATTTTAGTTGCACTCTTCTTGAATGCACCACTCTTTGCGAGTGCAAAACGTATCTGTTCTTGCACATTTCACATTCCTGCACACGTTTTTCATCTGTTTCAATGTTATTTGATCTGTTTTTGCTAAAACATCTGCTAACCCAAACATTTTTTTAGTTATAAGACATTATGTGACTAAGTTTTTTGAATGCAAACAAATTCAGATTTACTATTTTATATCTTGTATCCTATAGTTTCTCATGCTTATATTGGCCTAATACTTTATATTATTTGTACTTATTCTTCAAATTGTTTATGTCATGTGCGAGCATCGCAGGGAGCAGGCAGGACCCAAATGCAGTACTGGTGAGACTCTTTCTGGTGCAGGAAGTTTTATTAACAAAGTCCAAATTAACAAAACACGAAGAACTAACAGGCATGGAATTCTCGAGGAACACGAGGAAAACACGGAACACGAGGAAACAGAGCAGGAACCTCACGAAGCTCTAACACAGTCACACTGATCAAACACACACAACCACAATGATCCCACCACGACAGAGTGAGGGAGAGGGGTATACAGGGAACACCAGGTGACACAAGTGAAGCTAATTAACAACAGGTGAGTGTGATCCCATGATTACCCCACAA